AGGTTTTTCACTATGATACCAGCCTTGAAGTTAGGCTTGGTGATAGAGTATTGGAATTTAATTTTGATATTTTTCTCAGCTTCCATATCTATTGCTTGAGATTTCAATGTTGCAGTCATAAATCCTGGACATTGTACGTTAAGGTTTCACTTTTATATGCTGAATAGTGGATATCTTTAGAACTTTCTGCAAATTTTTGGAATTTGTCCGAATATTGACTTTTTCCTTGAACTCTTTTATAGGAAAATACTATATTGCTGCAATTTAATCTACATATTTTCATGTGCACAGTTTTAGAGTTAGGATCTGTAATTCCTTCAGTATGTAGTTTCTCTTAGGAAGATCATGCTCATTTCTGATTTCTCATTCTTTTAACAGATGGGCTTGGTTAATGGAAAGATCCTTTTTTTTTCTTCTTTCTATAGCTTCCATATACTTATTGTCAGGGTTGGTTCATTTTGGCGTCCATGGATGTAAGCAGTAAACCTTAGGTCATTTTCTGCTGTAGTATGCATTTATAATATCACAAAACGGCCATTGTATTTCTTTCTCATGGTTTTGTTGGTTAAACTCTCAAGTCGTTTTGCATCTCCCTGAATATATAGACAGCATGACAACTATATTTAGGCTTGAAACTTCACTCTGTCAAACACGTTTTTATAATGTAATTTTCCCAGTAATATTTTTCAAATTTATGCATTATTTCTCTGGAGGAGATAATGTGTAGTGTGTATAGATGATAACAATCATTGTTCTTACTACTTGATTTATTGGACTTGTGTGTTATTTAAATGTGCTCTCGATGAAGTTACTTTAAGAAGTGGATAAAAATGTACTATCTAATGTAATTTGGCTACATGCTTTGTGACATTAATTGGCTTCTTCATTATGTTGAATGTTATTATGCCAACTATTATTTAACCTACGGTTAAGATAATAGTGAGTTATATTAGGTTACTCTTTTGGTATGGTTAGATAAGCTGGCTGTGTTGTGGCATGTAATTTAGTTAAGGATTATCGTCGAAAGCAAATATGCATCTATAATGTTGTATCA